CCATTTCATGGAGTTCTCCATATTCAATACACTTCAATATTATATCCAAGTATGTACTCTGGCTGGGTGCTATTTTCTATCCCCATAAATCCTTATTCCAAGAACGTATGTCACCTCTTCTAGATCCTTCATAGCGAAATATTTCCCAAGCCAAGATATCACTTCTTGCAAAGTTGGGACATCATTTCCTATAAAAGGTATGTCATCAACATACAAAAATAGAAACATTAAAACCCTCCCACTAGCTTTCACATATGCACATGACTTATCTTTACTCTTAGAAAATCCAAACTTTTTGACCTTCTCGTAGAAACAAAGATTCAAGCTACAAGATGGTTGTTTAAGTCCATAGATAAACTTCGCAAGCTTTCACACCTTATTAAGATATTTTACATGTTTGAAACCGTCCAGATGATTCATATAGACATCCCTGGTAAGCTTCCTATTAAGGAAAGCAATTTTAACACCCGTTTTCCATACCTCATAGTCATGAAAGGCAACTATGGAAAGCATCATCCTAATTAACTTGATCTTAGCTACTAGTGAGAAGGTATCATCATGGTCAATCATTTGGGCTTATGTAAAACCCTTCGCAAACAGTGTAGCCTTGAACATATGTATACTCCTATTTATATCGGTCTTCATGAAGATCCATTTACAATCCACCGTCTTTCAACTAGGTGTATGATTAACTAAATTCCAAACTTGGTTATCGTACGTGGATTGGATCTCTCTATCCATTACATCTTTCCATTTAGCATCCTTAGCGGCTTGCACACTTCCTTGTAGCTAGATGGATCTTCCAAAATTACGTGTGTTTTATCACTAATAAATGTGTCCTCATCCGTAATTATATGAAATCCATAAAACCCGTGTGGCATACTAACTTTACTATATTGATGAAGAGGTAATAAATTATCAACTAGCACAATAGGTGTTTCATGCTCATGTTGCGTACTAACATCAGTAAATGTCACGTAGTAATGATTTGCACCACTAGACTTTCTTGTGTGGGATTTCCCTTTCCACTTGGCTTGGGTAATGGTCTTCCTTTTCTTACCTTTTCCTTGAAGAATGGCTAGGATAAGAGTAGTAATAGCATTATTGGCATGAGACTTCTTCATGCCTGCTTCAGTTGTTTGTAACAAATTATGGAGTTGCATTAACGTAGTTTCAGTTTTGTTCAAATGGTAAGTTAAGATAAACTGATGATAACTACTTTCCAAAGATTTGAGAACCATATTAATGGCTAACTCTTTGGCGAAATTCACATTGAGCTTCTCGATCCTTTCCACACATCTCTTGCATCTTCCTCACATGAGTAGATACATACTTTCCTTCCTTTATCTTACACGCCATTAGGGACTTCATGACTTCAAAACATTCTTGTCTTGATTTCTTGTGAAATATTTCTGCAAGAGCCAAGTTCATTTCAAATAGATAATAATTCTTATCATACTTTTGTTGATTAGGTACCATAGTTGCAATCATAACGCAAGCAACCTTAGTAACGTCACCAACATGTTGTTTATTAGCAACAATTTCTTTCGGATTAGTAGTTTCCATGTCAACTTTTGGGAGTGGGTTATCGAGAACAAACTCTTTGTTCTCATAACACAAAGTCATTTTCAAATTTCGTATCCAGTCCATGCAGTTTGGACCAAAAAGCTTCTCCTTTTAAAGGTTTGACAGTAGAATGAAGTTTGAGTTATGTTTGGGATGAAGAGGAAGAGGATAATGATCAAAATTTATAGACATCTATATAAGAATGAAAGTTTTAGTTATTTGATTTAATCCTTAATGTATGTTAACCCAAATTTAGTTTATATAAGGCTAGGATCCATATTTTCAATTCAAAATAAGAAGATGGATGCCGTAATCCAATTGCGAATTTGTTTTAGGTAGGTAATACATTTTCCCAGTTCCAATCACAACAAACTCCTAGATCACTTGAGGTTCATTGAACTATCAATGGCATGTTTAATCTCAAATTATGCTCTTCCTTTTGAGACTATGATAGAGGATTACAAATACGATGTGAATAACTATATAAACATACGTGACACCCTGGTTCTCATTTATGATCTCACATTAATGTGTCAGTTAACCACACACGCTCCATCAACAACCATAAACCAATTTATCTCATCATTTCCACTTTGTAGTCCTAATTGTGTCGGTTAACCATACACGCTCCACTAACGAATTACGAAGAATGATGTGCGTTTTCATGTATTAGCATACAAGTTCCCATTTTTCCTAAGTAAATATACTAGGAATTTTTGTATGTTCTAGTACTTAATGTTGTACTTTAACAAGATTTATGTTCTATGAGTACCCTTTCAGCTAACTCACAATCCCTTACACAAAGAAGCGATGTATGAAATGACAATCATTCAACAATTATTTTATAAGTCATTTCGTTATGCATATCTTATAATGTAGTATGAATAAGGCTTAGTCTTGATTCGAATAACGACTTATTATTGTTTTACATATAATATTATATATACACTTATATATATATAATATATATATATATATATATATATATATATATATATATATATATGTAAGGGTGTATTATTAAACTTTTAAGAATACAAGGTCTAAATGTTATTAATTTAATTAACTTTTAATTGATTAATATTCAAACCAATTAAGATTACATAATTATATTTTAATTAAATGTATATTAAATCTTTTATGAATTAAAAAATATGTTAATTAAACTTTTAATCAAATAATATTAATTCCTTTTGTTTCTTCCTTAATTTTTGAATTAGGGTTTATCTAATTACCTAGTTTAAATGTTCAGATATTAAGCAATTAAAATGACAATTAACATCTAGTAATTATCCTACAAATAGAAAAAGGCACTAAAAATCCTGAGACCCTTCTACAAGGTAGATTGTGTAGCGTCAGACAGAGAGGTCGTGTCGCGCCTGCAATTCAGCATGGTCTCCCGGTTTCTTTTAGTTTTAATGACGATTTTCATATATGCACATATAAAAGAAAATCCTAGGCTTTGATACCACTTATGGGTTTCCTAGGTTACAAACCAATAGATTTGCACATCAGAACATATATATATATATATATATATATATATATATATATATATATATATATATACATATATATATATACACACACACACATATCTATATATATACACTACTAAAAAAACAGCCTTTTACGACGTTCATTGCACGTTGTAAAAGGCTCAGACGATGCGCAAATGCGCGTGAAGGAAGGACCTGTCATAAAGAAAGATGACGCGCTTTTGCGCGTCGTCTATAGACGACGCGCATTTACGACACTTATTTACGACGTGCAATTACGACGCGCGTTTACGACACGCAATGCGTATCAAGGAAGGCCCTGTCATAAAGGAAGACGACACGCATTCGTGTGTCGTAACCTTAGGACACGTGTGTTAATGACACACAATGCGTATCATTAAAACCCCTGTCAAGAAAGGCCATGTCATAAATGAAGATGACACACATTTTTGCGTATCGTAAATTTAAATGTTTAAAAAAAATATATTTATATATTTATTAATTTTCAAATTAAATTTGCATTTAGTGTCTCATAATATAAAATAAAATATCATATACAAAAAATACAATCCATTACCTAAAATTTAATGTCATACAAATAATCTTCCATTGAAAGATAAAATAAATCAATAGAAGTTGTAACAGAAATTTACAAAATAATAGTTCTGATAACCTAATGTGTGCCTCACTGTAAACAAGATTTGTGCTGATGAACCCATCCTTGCTCACAGTATATACATCTGTAGATGAACCCATCCCTTCAAGCATAAGGGCAACCTGGTCAAAATAACCAAAGGCAGAGTCAGCAATATCATTATTATATAACTAAAAAGAAAAAAATAGAATTAAGAAATAAGAACACTGTTTACAATTGTTGTTGAAGTCTAGAAATTGTTTCCTTCAGCCTTCAATCTTGCAACCTATTATTCTGCCAATTGTTGTTCAAGTCTGGAAGTTGTTTCCTTCAGCCTCGACTCAACCTTTAAAGAAATAAGAACACCGTTTACAATTTCAAATTAATATTAAACATGAATTAGCAATAAGAATACCATTTCTAGACTGAATAAACCATCTGAATCAAATCAAATTACCATTTTACCCTTACATCTGAAAAGCAAATTTTGCAATATTCATCAATTCTAATGTGGGGAGTTGGAAGGATAAAAGAAGATGGGAAAAAAGGTAAAGGGTTATTGTTTTGATACATTAGGCCAGCTATATTTAAAGAAACATAGATGCCCATGTTTAGTGCTTAACTCATCAAATCCATTAAGTAAAAAAGCAACAATCTCATAATTTCATAAGATCAACTTACAGATTTCCAAGCACATACTTTTCCATAAAAACCAACGCATTGTGCTCCATATAAAGCGTTGGAAGCATCAGAGGACCTTAAAGCAGTTGCAGAACTATCATCTGCTTTGCAGACAACACAATTTCCATAAAAACATAGATGCCCATGTTTAGTGCTTAACCCTACAAGTCCATCTAATAACCATTCTGACAACAAACAATGGAAAAGTAAATCAGTATTACATTTACATTGCTTTATTTTAATTATGGAAAGCCATAAGTATAGCATGTTACCATTGCTTTATCACTGCAGAAGCACCAAACCATTGCCTTGCAAGCTCATATGCAAGTTTTATTCTTGTATCTATTGTCTATTGTTCCATTACAATTACATATTAATGTAAGCAACATTAAATTTCATTGAATTATAAGTTTAGCCATTAAAAGCATTACATACCTGATCTATGATCTTCTCTTCGTAGAGAATTTGTGAACTGAAAATACTCATTGATGCACCAAAGCTTAAATAAGAAAGTGTTACCTTGTCAACATGTAAAAGTTTGTTTAAATATATTTATAAATTTTTATTAAGTAATAGGCTGAAGGATTCTTGAAGTTGAATTCTTTCTGTTGAGCTAATTGTCAAGCAACACTATGATCAAAGAAATAAAGCCCTGCTATCATAAGAGCTGGGATGAAGGCTGCAAATTTTATTGGCCCACATTTATTGTCTGCTCCTACAAGCTCCTGTCATGTCAAATCCACTATAATAAGAAAAATAGCGAAAGAAAGTAGAAAATTATAAACCTTCATGCCCATCCGAGATAGACACCAGTTTTGATCCATCCAAAGACCATGTAATATGGTATATAGAACCTTCATGCCCATCCAATCCAATCCACATACTGGGACAACTTTGTACTCAGCTCTCTTTGATTTTGATCCCATAGGATTCGGAGTATCTACCACTTTCCAGACAATTATCTGGCACGGCAAATTTACAATCAGCTATCTCATCATGTTTAGAAACTAGTTTTACTCATGTATCAGGCAGGTAGGTATCTATTATCTAAGAGCCAGCCAAACTGTTAGTATATTTAACCAAACCTTATGTAGTTATGTGTATTTAATGATTTAATCCTTTGAGATATGGAAAACTGAAATGGTGAAAGATGCTTACATTTTTCAAGAACTGACAGCACCAAATGTTGGCATCATTGCAGTCAGTCCCTATAAGATTGTTTAGTATATATGTTATTATTTATAAAACCAAGGGCAAAAAAGGAAAAGAGTATAATCTTTTTACCTTCATCTCCTCTGTTTATGAATAACAAGAGATCATCAACACACACACACACGCATGATCCTTTTAAACTTCAACATTTTCAAGCATACCTTAAATGCAGGAACCAAAGAACTGATTACATTCTTGAGCTGAACAGCAAGCAACATACTTTCTACATATTCCCCAAGCTTCTTAATCCATGAACACTGTGTTGGGTTGGTTTTTTTTTTCTAAAAAAAAAAAAATTATGAATTTGTTAATAATAGGTTGAAGAAAGTCTAGAGGCAGTTATTGTAAACTCACTTGTTCCCCAACAATATTTAGAACCGACACAAGGCTGACATGAATCAAGCAGAAGTTTCCAGCACCTAAAACAAAACATATCACATCACACACACGTTAACTTTTCCATTCAAATTCATCTTCATCATACTTACCAAAACGATACGAGAATTGTCCAAGAGCCTCGATAAATGGCATGGATTCAATGTCCCCAGGCATCAGCATCAATAAATGTATTAGTAACAACAAAAATCCCAAAATATATGTATATATGATGTAATAGCTTTATTTACTAAACCTACCTATAGTACCACCCAATTCAATCACACAGACATCAGGTGGGCCTTCTTTTCCATCTACTGGTATAGCTGCCACGCGTTTGATCCAATCTTGAATGGCATCTGTGATGTGAGGAACAGCCTGACAACAATAAACAATAAATAAAATCTAAACCAACTGGAACTCAAACCCTCACATTGTTTAATTTCATTTCTTTTACCTGAACAGTCTTTCCAAGATAATCTCCTTCCTCTCCTTGTCAATCACAGACTACACACAGATCAAATCATTAAAATTAAATATATATATATATATATATATATATATATATATATATATATATATATATATATGTTCCTTCACGTTTCACCAGAAATAGAATACACTACCTGGTAAATCTTTCCAGTGGTGATATTAGTATCACGGGTCAACTTAACATCTAGAAACCGCTCATAGTTCCCAAGGTCCAAATCCACCTTTAAATAAAATTTATAATTTATGCGTAGTAATTCCCTATTTGTATATCAAGTAAAGTCGCATGCATGCATGCCTTGTTTAATTATTATTATTATACAATATCAACAACATGAAATCTTGCAGAAACTTGTGTATCTTGTAGAGCTAAATGCAAGGAATGATAACTTACTTTCATTTTAAAAAAATTTAGTTTTTGTAGCGTCTTGCTTCCATTTGTTTCCACTACAACATTTACTTTTAAATACAGTATTTTTTTTCTTATGCAAACACTCATTTTTGGAAAATCTACACAGGTATAGCACTGTATTTATAAGTTTTCTTTTTCTTATTAGGATATCATACTTTGAAAAATCTACTCAATTATTTATAGCAATTTAAAAATGCTTTATGTTAGGATGACATGACTTCGATATAATTGGGTAGATGTTTTAAAGTAGAATGTTGTAGTTGGAAGAAATGAAGGTAACATGCTAAATTATACAAATAATTTTAGGTATGTTGCTAGTTCTTGCATTCAGCTAATTTTATTAACAAGTCGGACAATGTTAATTCCATTAATAACATTGAATTTAGCTTAAAAACACCAAACCAGTATGTAACTTACTTCTCCCCCATCATCCAGTACAAAAACTTCACCATGCTCAAAAGGAGACATTGTTCCTGCATCTTTATTCAAATACGGATCTGCATGGAGAACACATCAAACAGATTTCAAATAATATCACCCACTGTTATAATTGTGTAGATTTTTAGAAGAATCACGTCCTAATAAGAAATTTTGAAACTCTCTATTGAATTCGAAAACTAGAACTTATGTTTGCGTTTTGTGGGAAAGAGAACAAGGATGAACTACGAACACCCACCCACTTGATAGGGGACATAAGAAAACATTTAATTAGAACTACAAATCAGAATCAGGTCAACATGAATTCAAACAACAGTACCCACAAGGAGGCCGATAGATACATACAAGACTAGAAAACACATCACCAACCCACAAAGAAAGATTCTTCTCATAAAAATTAACTAAACAAGAATGATTAGACACCAAAAACAAAATCATTATATTAATCTACGTTATCCATTTATCCACCGGGGAAAAACCAATGAGAGTTTTTTATTCTACCTGCCCACAAAAGTTGCAACAATTGCACTTTTTTCCATTTTGTAATGTCAAATCTGCAAACACTTCCTTTTCTTGCCAGATCTTCAAGATATTGATGTCAATTACAACATTGACGTGATGAAAATTCGTGTTTTTTTAATTTAATTTAGATGGGAATATGAAAATAGGGTACAATTCGAACATATACAAACCAATTTTGATTGAAGTGCACGAAGACCGCAAGCCTGAAGAAGAAGACCAATACTGCTAGCAGTCACTCCTTTTCGGAGTCCACTAACAATGAGAGATATTCTGTCTGATAAACGGAATTAGGGTTTGGCTGGAATGTTGAGTCGTTGCCAACAGTGGTAAACAGCAGAGATCCCTTGTCGAAAATAACCCTCTATAAAAAGCTGATACCATTCCCTTGTAAGTCTGCCTGCATCAATCCCTTCTTCTCCTTGGAAGTGAACAGTGAGCCTACCCTTTAGATCTTGTGTGGATCTCATTCGCAGCTGATTATATGAAACTTCAAGTATGTATGCGCGTATTACAGAGATTCTCAAAGGACTGTGATGGTGATCATGTTGATGTTTGATTTTTGATCTAAAATAAGACCCGCTTGTTGTCAAAATCAATAAAACGGGGGACTTTCAGCATAACGGAGAAGGATTTTTCAAGCAGTCCAGGGTTTTGGCGGATGAATGCATTCGGAAGCTTCATATGCTTCTCCGAGAACTTCACAAACACCACATGCTTTCCATCAACTTTTGAAGTCGTCGCCTCATCGATTTCATGAATCAATCCCTGGGAATCGAATAAAGAAGAAGAGGACCAGTGGTGATGGAAGAAAAACGATCGATTAAAGACATTGAAGCGACCGATTGAAGATAGTTGAAGAGATCTGAGGATAAAAATATCAACAAAAATTACTTAAAAGTTTGAATCAACAATGCAATGAAATCGAACGGGAAGGTGAAGAAGGTGCGACTTCATCCAAGTTCTCATCATCATCTGAATCATTTAGGGATTTAAATATCGGTATTTCTATTGGGCATTTTAGGGATGATGTGCTAGGGTTTTTCCAGGATGATGATGTAGGTAGGGTTCAAAATCAAGTTGAATAATTGGGGATTTATATGAATGACTGGAATGTGTAGCAACAATTTTCATGTTGAAAATTTGTGAATGAATAAGAAGATGATTATGGTGAAAAAGAAGGGAGGGAGTGAAAGGTAGGAGAAAGGTAGCAATTGTGGATCAATTTCATGAGGTTTGACCACTCATCGTAGTTATCTTCCATCCCTAAAGTCACCGATGTGGCGTCTTTTTGTCTTTGGAGCCACCGTCGTTGCCCTATTCTTTCCCTCGAGCCACCATCTCAACTCTTTTCAACCTATTTGACGTTTTGAGAGAGAGATCGATATGGAGATATTATTTGAACCAAAGAATTCTAAAAAAAGCCCTAGAGTGTGATAACTTATGGAATTCACTAACCAAACCATGGAAAAGAGAAAGTAGAAACGAAGGAAGATGAAAACAAGGCGGGGTTTTCTAATTTGTGGGGATTTCATTTCCCGCTCAGCTCTTAAAGGTTGAAAACGCGCGTTCCATTAAAATTTATAAATCGACATCCTTAGATGACGCGCATTTTATTATAGGTGCCCTCCGTGTTTTTTCTAGACACTAATTTAAGGGCGCAGAATAATGCGCGACATAAATCCTTAAATTTTTCAAAGAAATGACACTTTTTTAATGTCACTCTCTTTTGCGTAACATAAATCAATGAGTGTCATGGTTTGCACGTCGTAAAAGGGTCTTTTTCTTGTAGTGATACATACATATATATATATATATATATATATATATGTGTGTGTGTATATATATATATATATATGTATATATATATATGTATATATATATATATATATATATATATATATATATATATATATATATATATATATATGATGTGACCTTAAACCCTTCTTGTCCGTGAACTTCTCTCGAACGTCCAGTTGTTACTGCAAGGTTGCAAAGAACAGAGGCAGGCAGCCGCTTTCCAGGAGGAGCTCCCGGAAGAACGCTCTGACGGTCAAGTTAGAGGATGTTCTAGGGTTTGTGTGTATTCTCTCTTGAGAGCTCAGAGAACTTACCTCGCAAGTCTGAGTGCACATCCTTTTATACCTAGCGCTCCTGCCCGAGTCATACCGGACAGGATCGCTTTTGGGGAGACAGGACCAGAGGCGTTGATTGAAGGGTCGTGCGCCTTCAACCGTTAGAGCACTCTCATTGGCTCCGATGGTAATGCTCTGATCCTTCTGATTGTCTCCTGACCGTGTCGTTTGTCTTGGAGTAAGGAGCGCCTCTTGAAGTGCGCGAGCCTTTCACTTGCACGCTTCACTCCCAGGGATGCCAGCGGGCGTTGAGCCTGGTTGGCATGCCCAACACTTGGGCTAGACGCGGTTATGCTGTGTTGCCCTAGTCACACCATCAAGTCCCCCAGTCCAGTAGATGTAGCGTTGTAGCGCTAGTTACGGTGTTCTGGGCTTAATTAACTAACGCGTGTTGGTTTTTCTTTATCCGCCACTCCGCTCTTAATGGAGACGTGACGGATAATGATGACTGGAAGTTGCATCATTATATCAGTCATTTAAATGTCCCGCCTCCTCCACTTCTTTATGAGGGTATTTGCACGGTTTCTCTTGCTTCATATGTTCCTCCTTCTCCTTCTTGTGTTTACCTTCTATTTTCTTTTCATTGCAAACCTTCCCGGGATCATTCCATCTGCTGTCGAGTATCGTCAGTTGGAAGTCACTTATGGCTTGTCGTCCTTGGAGGGTGTGGAATTTCCCTCTCCTAGTTCTAGCATCTCTTCCCCTCCCCCTGGTAAGATTAGGGTTTACTTGAAAACCCTAGACACTGGTATACGCTTTCCTCTGACGGATTTTCAGGAGGAGGTCCTTCAGAAAGACGGTTGCAGTCTTTAGATGTTGACTCCCAATGCGGTTAACAAAGTGGTTGCATTTGAGATGATCTTTAGGGCTAATGGGTATCTTCCAGATTACTTCATCTTCAAGTTTTTCTTCCGAGTCTGTGTTACCGGAGATAAATGCACCTTCTCGGTCCAGTGAGGGGGTCACGCCTTAGTTCCCGATGGACGTACCCCCAAAAACTGGAGGACAAATGGTTGTGGGTGAATCAGGAGCTGGTTGGGAGTGGTCGCTATCGTGCCAACGCTTTCGCCGATACCATCCCTAAGCTCTTTCCTCACAACCAGGGTGTAGCCGACTACTTGAAGAATGTGTAGGTATCTGCTGAAGATTTCTCCAAGGCGCTTCTGTCTGGGGTAGGTATGAGCCCCTCTTGGAGGCGGTGTGGAAAAATGGCGGTGTTCTTCTCCTTCGTTGACAATGAGTGTTGTATTCCTCTTTTCCTTTTCACCCCCTTTATACTCCTGTGCTATTTATTTTTCCGTTCTGCGTTCCTTAAGTGTTGAGACTTCTATGTCCATGGATGAGGTGTTACGAAAGCGCTATCGTGGT